AAAAAAAAAAAAAAAAAAAAAAAAAACAGGTTCCCCAAAGCCCACCCACTAGGCTTGGGTTCAGCAGGGACAGGCACTAGGCTACCAACTCACTAGGGCCAGAGTTCCTCGTAAGAGACCCATAACCTCTACTTTTAAAGGCATGTCGGAGGCCATTACTGAGCAGGTGAATGTGACTTTTACCATCTGCATGTCCAGCCACGGCCCTGCTGACTTCTGCTTTCCACACTCATCGGATTTTACAACTTAGGGAGGTTTCTTGAAGGATTAATCTTTAAATAAGCCTGGAACTTTCCTTCCTGCTCTGGAGGGCAGGAGTTCTCCTCGGTTCCCACTACAAACCGGGCACTCTGCCTACTGCCAGCAAGGCCAGAGACGGCTCAGCAGGGACAGGCACTGGCCACCAAGCCTACGACCTGAGTGAGGCTCATCCCCAAGACCCACACGGTAAAGAGCTGTCTTCTGACCTGCACACACTTGCTGTGGCAGGTGTGTGTATGTGTTTGTGTGTGTGAGTTCATGTGGGTGTAGGGAGGTGTTCATGTATGTGTGGGGGGGATGTTCATGTGTGTGTGTATGTGTTCATGGGGGGGTGTTCGTGTGTGTGTGTGTGTGTGTGTGTGTGTGTGTGTGTGTGTGTGTGTATGTGTATGTGTGTGTGTATGTATTATATATTTTAAAAGTACTCAAAAAAGGATACCAAATGCCACAGTTTAAAATTAAACACTGCTAAGCTGGGCATGGTTCACACCTATAATCCCAGCACTCAGGGCAGGAAGGTATAAGCATTCCCTACCAGTAGCTTGGGCTAAAAAGTGACACCCAGTCTCTCGAAATGAAATGAATAAATAAATACTCGGAGTTGCTGCCCACTGATGGCGGGGTGGGGGCAGCACACAGCCAGCCTCTCTAGGCCACATGCATTTCTACCCCTCTCACGTCGTGAGCTTTTTCTAAGCCGAGTCCCCAGAAAGTCTGTCCCATCACCCACAGCAGTTTTCTACAACAGCATGGGCTTTGCAAGACGACATCTCATCAACAGAGACACAATTAGCCACAGGAGGAGGAGGACATAACTACTCTCTGGGGCCAAATGCATCTGTCCCCTGGAGTCCCTCAACAATGGCACCCTGGGAAAGCGCCTCCACTGTTCACCTTGAGTCTGTGGCTGCAACCCAAGACCTGGATAGGAGCCCTGGCCTAGGAATACAGAGTCCACCCACGGGCCTTGCTGGATGCCGGTGACAACACCAGGGGGCAGCAGGGAGGCAGGGCAATCCTGGCGGAGTCTGGACCATCCCACACCCTGAGGGACACAGCGTTTCATAAGCTCTACCACTGATTTCCAATGACAGGCAGGACACACTACTCAATAAATGGTGATGGGAAAATGCGCTGTTTTGAAAAAACTGGCGCCTCTGTTACATCAACTGCATGAAGAAAATTTGGCTGCCTTTGTTGTCAGAAACGAAACTACGCACCGGCTAAGAACCATGCACAGGCAATCCAGGTAAGCCTGGGATGCAAAAAGACCTTCTGATGGGGCTGGAGGTGTGGTCCGTGGTGAGTGTGTGTTTAACCTGCATAATGCCTGCCCCCAACCCCAGCACCAGTAGCCTGGGAAAGGGGAAGTGGGGTCACCAAAATATACAGCCACGGACACATGCAGCATAATCAATCACTGGATACACTGTGCTCAACAGCAGTGAAAAACTATAAATTACAGTCAGAAAATACCACGCCTTGAAGTCCACCATAAAAACTAAAGGATCTATAGCAGGGTTTACAGCTTTACTTAGTGTGGATGTGGTCGTGCAAATGTGTGCCTTGAAACAAATGTGTGCAAGACACACTAAAATATCAGCAGGTGTGTCAGACTGATGGAAATTACCACCCTTTTTCCACCCCAGTGTTTCCACTGTCTTCAGTTTCCTCAGTAGAAAACAATCATCTCTTGAAATCCACAACAATTTTCAACAGTCACAACAGTATATGGCACAAAACCAAACTGTGTTACAGATCGCCAACATCCTAGGAAAGCATATTGTACCGGCTGTGGCTGTTATCATCTGGCTGGGCAGCTACCCACTCCGGAGCTTAGGAAGCAGACGAAGTGTGGGAGGAAGGGCAGACAGTCCACCGAGGGTGGAACACCAGGTCTGCTCTACAAGGTGGGCAGCTGCAGGAGCCACCTCCTGATTTTCCCACCTGCGGCAAGGCAGCTGCAGAAGGGAACCACGAACCTAGAGACTGAGAAAGGATGCCCTCGGTAAGTAGGCACACAAGATGCCATCACTGTCCACGGGAGACTTCACCAAGCCATGGCCCTCCTGCAGAGCATCACATGGGATGGGAAAGCCAGCAGGAGGAGAGCCTTTGCAGGGGGCCATCTGCAGCCTTCATCAGCACCACCTGGACCCCTTGTGCAAGACACATGAACGTAGCATGTACCCCCACTGCTGCGGATTTTTTCTGAGCCAGTCTGTAGGGATACTGGAGACCCTGCATCTTTCTAATAAGCTCTCAGGTGGTGTTGATGCTGCCCTTCTGACTGCCTAACTTTGAGAGCAGGTGCCGTATAACAAGACGGTAGATGCTCCACATGCATCATCTTCCACGACAGGAACTATGAGAATATCCCTTGAGAAACCCCACCTGTAAGAACAGGAGCAAATGAAACCTCCTCCTCCATGCCAGGGGGAACCAACCCCCAGGAAAAGCAGCACAGGACAGCAGCTCCCAGGAGCCAGACTGCCCAAATCTGCGTCCTGCTGATCACTGTGTCTTCCTGGATAGGTTAATTAAAATATCTCAGTGGAGTGTCTTCATGGGTGTAAACTAGAGCTGACAGCTCATTTCTCCCCCACTAGAAAATGGAGAGGAGTGCCCACCCAAGCCAGCAATGGGAGATCGTTCCTGTCCTGGAACTCCACCTGCCTCTGCCCACTGAGTGCTGGGATTAAAGGTTTAAAGGTGTGTGACACCACACTCAGCTATCACTTACATTCTTTTGACAGACACGTGGCTCACACCTATATTCCCAGCACTCGGGGGACTGAGGCAGTAAGGAGGGCTGCTGTGAGTTCAGACTTCAAGACCAGCCTGGGCCATGAGAGAGACTGTCTCAAACAAGCAAACAACAAAAGACGGCCACATCGTCTAAGCTGGTGTCAACTCCTCAGGCTCATGTAGCCTCCCACAGGCATGTGCCACTCACACCCAGCTCTCCCTTCACCTACATTTTGAAAGTCCACACACTGAAAGGTCATCAAGGCTTCCATGTCCTAGCCGGGAGGTGGTGGCGCACGCCTTTAATCCCAGCACTCGGGAGGCAGAGGCAGGCAGATCTCTGGCTCTAGAGATGAGGCCAGCCTGGTCTTCAGAGCTAGCTCCAGGACAGCCAAGGCTACATGGAGAAACCCTGTCTTGAAAAACAAAAACAAAAAGAGTTCTGTGTCCTGACAAAAGCTCAGGAGACCAAGACAGTCCACCTGCTTTGAGGTTGTTGTTTTTTATATTAACCCCAACCATATTCCTTCTTCCTGCCTGCTCCTCTCTACCAAATGTCCAATATCAGATCCTGCACACACTAGATACAAAATTAAAACAATAGTAAATTTTTTAAAATTTAATTTGAAATTAAACTTGAAATTTAATTAATAGTAAGCAATTTGAAATTCCCTAGGTTTCCCCATTTTAAAAAGGTAACATTAGAATGTGAGAAAGATGAAATGGCAGAGGTCAAGAAACGAAAACTACACTAGTTAGCCAAGCGTGAGTACTAGCCAGCCCAGGCTGCGAGATGGAAAACTACTTAGGAATGTCACTTACCTACGCCTTTTCGCTATAATAAGAGGGGAGAGGCTGGGGCCAGATCAGGGAACCCATCAGTGGTTTTAGGCATCGCTCAATGGATCCTGTCTCTAAAGACTCGAGATCTTGGTAAGACGCCGTCCGTCCGTCCGTCCGTCCCCGTCCCCGCCCCGCCCCCCCACACACACACACAGGCTTAAAAAACTCCTCCAAGAGAGATGCAGTCATCATCTCTCTTGGAGGAGTTTTTTAAGGAAGGCAGAAGTGAAAAGTCCCTCTAACAGGGCATCACATACTCCACTATGGCTGCGTGTCAGTCAAGAGGGAAACGTCCTGCAGACCTTGTTCAGGAGCAGTGTCCCCATTCATAAGTAAAGAAGACATGATAATAAATTGATATTCCACCCACACGAGATCAGCTGTACTTAGGTACCAGGACACACACTGAGGGCCAGAAAGAGAGATACGGTTCTATCGGTTATCGAACTTCCTTGCAAACGACACACACGAGCACCCACAGTGGCAATTGATGGAGCTGAAAGAAAGATGTCTGGGGAGGTGCTTCAGAAGGCGGTGGGGACACTAGAGCGTGGCGCTGCTCCAGCACTCCAGCTTCAGTGGCGATTAGATAAGACCAGCTGTTCCCAGCCGCTTAGTTTAAAGAGAAAGAAAAAGGTGCAGTTTGGGCGCGCCTGGCAGCTGGACCCGGGAAGGTGGGAGGCATGCGGGGTCTGCCTTCCAAGGCAGGGCGGCGACTCTGCACCTCCCACCGATCCCCGCGCTTGCGGATGGGAGCCACCTGTGCCTGCCACCGGGCCCCCGCGTGCTCCTCGGGCGTGGAGCGGCGCAGGCGTGGGGAGCCGGCGGGGACGGCAGGCGGCGCGGCGCACGCGCGACGGGGAGCCCGGAGTGCGCGGCCGTGCAGGGAACGCATCCTCCGGCCGCCTCGGACCGGCGCGGAGCATCTCACGGACAGCGAGGCGGGCCCAGGCGGGGCACCACTCACCAAAAGAACAGGCGCGAGCAGAAGTTGGCGTCCTGCAGCGGGTTGGGTTTCACCTCGGTGTGCACGGGCAGCATCTTGCCCCGGGTACGCGCGGCCTGGCGGGGACGGCGGTGGTGGCGGTGTGCGCGGCTCCGGGAGGCGCTCCCGGGTGAGGATGCTGGAGCTCGGGCCGGCGCGCCGGTCCGCTCGGCGGGAGCCTCGCAGGCAGCAGCTTCCGGGAACCGAGCGCCGGCCCGCCCTGACCCCGCCTCCCGGGGATCCTCGGGGCGCCCGCTACGCCTCGCCGCCGCCGCCGCCGCCTCCTGGAGCCCGGGAGCTGCGCGTCGCGTGCGAGCGCAGGGGGAAGGCGGGTCGGGAGCGGCGGAGAGTACGCGCAGGTGACGGGCGGCGGCCGGGGGAACGCGAGGAAGCCGCACGTGCTCGGGACCCGCAGCAAACTTTGCCGAAGTTTTGAGATCAGCGCCCGAGCACCACCCTGATGGGGGCGGGGGCGGGGCCGGCTGTGCCCGCCCCCGCGCTCAGAAACGCCCCCGGGCGAAGGGCTTTTTGGAGATCTGGTGAAAGCTGCCCGGCTTTGGCTGCCCTCCCCTGGCATGTTGCCTCCATCAGGACCGAATAGGGCGCTGTGGGAGGTTCTCCGACCTGCAGGCCAAGAGTCTGACCCGGAACAACAGCAAGGTTTCACAGATTCCCTTTGCAGACCTGAAAGCGGTGGAGACAGCCGGGCCACACGGGATTAGAACGCTAGGATCTGAAGAGATGAATCAATGTTGCCATTTCGGGCCGGCTTCTTGTCCTTTGCTGTATTTCTTGGCATGGCGGATCTCTGAGCAGTTGGCTACCCTCTTAGATTGGGTAAGAGAGATCAGATAATACACCCCCTGTCCGCGAGTCTGTCACCAAGCCCTGAGAGGCTCGCAGAGGAACCGAGGCGAAGGGACCGGCTATCACAGGACACCTTGGTGTGCCTTTCTGTGTACCTACTCCACCTTTAATTTGTGTAGTGCCCTTTTGAGACGGTTATTCCTATTTTACGGAGTAAAGCCAGACTCAAAAGATCCAACTCCTCTGAGATCTTAAGGTTGGTGATGATGAAATCTAATCTGTACTCAGATTGCCCTGTGAAGGCGGACTGGTTCAGGGAGGATCAGTAAGCAGAGAGTAAGACCTGGTCCCCAGCCCTTGGACTCCTGTTCGCCAGCCCTGGGTTCTGCCCGGGGCCTTGGTAACTGCCTCCACCATTCCGCTCACCTCAGCACGGGATAAAGAAAGATGAGCAGTTATGAATTCGTGACTTCACCCTTCCGTTTGCTGTGACAAAACACTCTAGCCAGACACAGCTTAGGGAGGAAAGGGTTTATATCGGGCTCACACTGGCAGGTAACAGTCCCACGTGGCTCCAGCTCCTGGCAACCCTGAAGAACTGCTGTGTGCTGACTCAGGCCCGCAGTGGGCCGGGCCTTCCCATGCGGAATAAGATGTCTCTCACAGTGGCCGGGCAGTTCTGCTGAAGTTTCCCGCTTTCCTGGTGACTCTAGGTTGTGTCCAGTTGAGAAGTAACCAACTCAACTTTCTCTGGTCATGTCCCATATGTGCTTATTTAAATGGCCTTATTAACAGTTTTTTGCAGTCTTCGTATAAATAAGCATTTATTTAGAAGTCAAGCCATCTGTGGTGGTCCACGCCTTTAAATCCATCACTTTGAAGGCAGAGAAAGGAAAAACAACTAAAGGTCATCTTTGACGGACTAGAGAGTTCCTGGCCAGCCTGGCCTACATGAGAGGCCCTGTCTCAAAAAAACAAAAATAAGTAAATAAAGACAAAAGTAATAAGCCAGGCAGCGACCCTCAGGAGTCTGAGGCAAGGGGAGTTGAAGTTCAAGATCAATGGGATATCGAGGCCGCTCTTGATCTGATTGGATACGTGGAGAGACTGTTTGAGAGACATAAGAATTGATACATAACATGTATCCTATGTTAGCCTTCTAACTGTTTATAACCGGGATGACCTTGAACTCCTCATCTTCCTTCATTCACCTTCCAAGTGCTCGACTCACAGACATGTCCATCGTGCCTAGTTATAAATGAGTTTTTGAGACTGGGAAGACATCCCAGTTTGTAAAATGCTTGTCTTACAAGCACAAGTACCAACTTCTTCCCACTCACCCAAAGCTAGGCATGGTGGCATACATTTCCTAGCACAGGCGAGGCAAAGACAAGTGGGTCCCTGAGGCACCCAGCCTACCCTTTTCCTAAGTTCCAGTGCAGTTAGAGACCCTGTTTCAAAGAAAAAAATAGAAAGAAGATGGCATTTGAGTAACAACAAGCTTGTACACAGATGTGCGCACACAAACGGATGGATGGATGGATGGATGGATGGATGGATAGATAATGTCTCAGCTACTCGGGAAGGACGGATATCCTGAACTAAGGACTTCAGGACCAACCTGAACATCAGTTCTATATCTGTCTTTGAAAAAAAAAAAAAAGAATAAAAGTCAGATATATAAAGCAGCAAAATGTTGATCGTTTCTAACTGTGTGAAGTTTATTATATAGTATGTTGGGCATTCCATGCGTGTTTTCCGGCTTCCCATTGCAAAAAAGGGAAGTATTTCAGTCGGAATGCAGAGCCGACCCTTCACTGGCCTCCCGGCCCACGGCCTCCTGTCCCATGGTGTCTCAGGTGAGGCGGTGTGTCTAAGCCAAAGTCGACAGGGCTCGCCTCATTTCTGATGCTCTTTGAAACGCCCTACGTTTTCTAGCCCGGTGTGTTTGTTCATCTGCCAGTTCTACTTCAAAGCCAGAGAGTGTGTTTGCTAAAGTTAGAAGCCCAGTGACTCGCCCTGCGCCTGCTCCGTCCCCTGTGACTGGTGACTCCCGACTGCAGCTAGCAGACTCCAAACTGCCAAAGCCCGTAGTCCCGTCAGCTTCCACTCAATTGCTGGCTGTTCGTTTTCTCAACTAAGCGATTCCGAAACTTCTTAACATTCTTTTCTGAACACTCACTCATGTGGCGCTTAGAAGAAATACTGAGAACCAGTATCACAGAGTAAAGAGGGGGGCTTAGGAGAACACGGTTTTCAGCTCTTCCTTAACAGCAAGCTTTGCTCCTGATTACTCTCCTCAGGTCTTTAATGAGTCTGGGATCCCCGCTCTTTCTTCCTCAGGTTTCTGTGAGTCTCACCTCCTCAGTGCATTCTGAAGACAATACACAAGTTAAAGGAACTGTTTTCGTTTGTTCTGCAAATACTGGGGGTGGGTGTAGTTCTTGGTACAATGCTTGCTTAGCAGGAGGCCCTGGCTTGAATCCTCAGTCACACACACACACACACACACACACACACACACACACACACACACGACATGTATGTGTATATAATATGTGTGGGGTGGGCAGGGGTGGGGGAGGTGGGTGTGTAGAGAGAGTGTGTGTGTTTTCGTTTAGTGAATGCTTTCTTTGTACTTTACAATTAGACCAAACGCTGGCGTGCAAGGTGGAAGGCCTCTGTGTGCAGTTCTTTACTTGCTTGAAAGAATCCAGTATTGTGACTGAAAAGACAAACAATAGCAAGTGTCAGAGAGGAGGACACTGGAGCACCCAGCGTCACTGACAGGGAATTGGAACGCCCTGGTGGAGTGCAGCAGGCGGGCGGGCAGTTCTTCTGGAAGTCAAAGCATCATGTGTGACTCAGCAGCTTCCCTGCCAGGGACACAGCCGAGAGCAGAGAAAGTGCGTGTCCACGTGAGAGCTGCTCCGGAGCAGCCGAACAGCGTTATTCAGAAAAGAGGAAAGAAGGCACATGCCCGTGGAGGGCAAAGCCAGTGTGGCGCAGCCGTAGAAGGAAGTATTACTTGGCACTTCTTAAACAAAGAAGAGATCATTTATGGGTGTTAACGGCATGAGTGAACATGTTAGAAGCATCGTGCTTGGAGGGCTGGAGAGATGGTTCAGTGGTTCAGTGCTAGTTAGAGGACTAGGGTTCAATCCCAGAACCCACATGTTGGCTCACAAACATCCTTAACTCCAGTTCCAGGGGAACCCAACACTCTTTCGATCTCTGCTGGCACCAAGCTTGCACATGGTGTACAAATATACATACATACAGGCAAAACAGTCGTATGCAGAAAGTATACATTTTTAAAATACATATATATTTTTAGTGTGTGTGTGTGTGTGTGTGTGTGTGTCACACACACATACACCAAGCTTGGGCTACCAAGATGGCTTAGAGGGTAAAGGCACTTGGCACCAAGCCTGACAACCTGAATTTAATCCCTAGCCCCACATGGTGGAAGGAGAGAACTGACCCCCACAAGTTCTCTTCTGACTTCCACACATGCACACTGCCACACATGCACACTGCCACACATGCACACTGCCACACATGCATGTCCCACTACAGAAACACAATCAATAAAATATAAATTTTACAGAGTTGCTCAAAACACTGTGCAATGCATGAACAAAGGGGGGGAAAAGCATAATAAGATGCCCATTGCCGTGTGTGTTTAGGGGCTGGGGGGCTGAGAACATCAGCTTGAAAAGTCTGACATTTAAGTCCAGGGTCACTTGTCCCAGTTACTTCACAGTGTGATGTCACAGAACATCATGATGGTCCCAGTGAGAGGTTATGGAAGACTATCGACTCATCCCCCTGGAGGCAAAGTGGGAAGGGGGTGTCCCAGTATCCCTTCAAAGGCAAATAACCAGCTTCTCTCCCAGTCGGGTGGTGCTAATTAACATGAGGGGCTTTGGGGGGGGGTGCAGATCCAAATAAGAGCCTGGTGGCAAGGTGATCCCAACTACCCAAGCAGCTGAGGCAGGAGAGTCCCATGTTCAGGCCTGCTTGAGCTACACAGTCAGTCCAAGTCTAGCCTGGGCAACTAGGCCAGACCCTGCCTCAAAATAAAAGTGAAAGTGACTGGAAATAAAACTAATTGGGAAAGCATGTCAAGCATGTACAGGGCTCAAAGTTTGACCTCCCAGACCACAAAAAGTAAACTGAAGATCATATAATTCATGAATTATATCCCTTACAGTTCAAGGTTCAGTAAATTACAGGTATATATGCTGTGGGGTGTCTTTCTGTATGCTGTGAACATGTGTTGCTCCCATTGGCTAATAAATAAAGCTGCATTGGCCTATGGCAGGGCAGGATGGAGCCAGGTGGGAAAATCCAAGAGAGATAGAGAGAGAAGAAAGGAGAGTGGGGGAGACGCCAACCTGTTCAAGGAGGAACATGTAATGGGACACAAGTAAAGCCATGGAACCCGTAGCGATACATCGATTAATAGAAATGGGTTGCGTTAAGTTATAAGAGCTAGCTAGCAAGAAGCCTGAGCCATAGGCTATATAATTTGCAATTAATATTAAGGCTTTGTGTAGTTATTTTATAAGCAGCTGCAGGATTGCAGGGCCAGGCAGGACCAGAGTAACTTATGGTTACATATATATTTTGCACTTAACACATGTCCTCTGAAAACATAGGTTAGCAAACACATTTCTGCCTTTGAGTTGGTCAGGGTGTAGAAATTCTGACTCATTTCAGGGTAGATTCTGTGCATTCATTTTTGTTTGTTTGTTTTTAATTGGCATTTTTATTTATTGTGCATGTGTCTGTCACATGCATGTGTGTGTGTGTGTGTGTGTGTGTTAGTTGTACATGTACCACCGTGCATAAGTGGGAGCCAGACAGCTACTTAACAGAGTCGGTTCTCTCCTTCCACCAGGGCTCAATCGGGGTGTCAATCTTGGCAACAGATATATTTACCCACTGAGCATCTCGACAGCCCAGGAAGTTTTTTTAGTAAGTACTCCAGGCAACCCTAATATGCAGTCAGAGTTGACGGGTCAAGAGTTCTGTGTGCCCAACAGTCATCACAGGAGGTGTGCACTGAAGGAACGTCGGGCCTGGGCACAGCTCGGTGGCAGAGCTATTGCCTGGGAGGTAGAGGGCCATGGCTTCCATTCCAAGCACCAAATAATAATAACGATGATGATGATGATGATGATGATGATGATGATGATGATAAATGCTGGAGAACACTAATAAAGATGGGAATGGGAGTGGTAGGGAAGAATCAGTAAAGAGCTTGAAAAGTCAGAATGTCACCAGATGCTCATGGTGCCAGGGGCCAGAGAAAGCCTGACAAACAAGACTGAAGATGTCCCAGGAGCCCCTGCCCTGTCTGTGAGGGACGGGTGCTTGAAAGCCAGTTATGGTGTTGGCTTACGGGGCTCCGTGGGCAACTCTGACTGGCTTCATTCTCTTTTTAAAAAATTTAATTTGTGACAAGGTTTCACATATCCCAGGCCATCCTTGACCTCGTTATGTATCTGAAGATGGCTTTGAACGTCTGATGCACCTGTCTCTGTCTTCCAGTTGCTGGAACTACAGGTGTGCACTCCCACGTCTGGTCTTAGGCAGCGCGGGGATCAAGCTCATAGCTTCCTGCGTGGTCGACAGGAACTCCACCCACTGAACTCCATCCCCAGCCCCAAGGAAAAGTCCTTTATTCGGGGTTTCTGTTTTCTTAGGGGGGGTGTTGAGATAGGTCTCACATCGTCCTGGCCAGCCTCACTATGGAGCAGAACTTCATACGTAACCAAAGATGACTTTGAACATCTGATTCTCCCGCTGTATTCTTTCAGTGAAAGTAACCATGAAAAGTTTCCATACTTTTGAAAGAGAAAATTGACATAGGTGTGAAATACGGATTTAAGAGAAAGAGAATGGTGGTGTAAAGAGGCAACAGATGGGAAAAGCACAGTAAGAGGCTGGGCTGGGGTCAGCAGGAGGACAGTCAACAAGGGTCACTTCTGGGCATCGCAGGACTGGGTCATTAGCAGTTAGTAGGTGCTCATTAAATACCTGATAAACAAGTGTTTTGAAAAGCAGAGCAAGAAGAAGGAGGTATCCATGGTGATTCCGAAGCCCCTGCTTTCTGTAACCGGAAATACATGGTGTCATCCAAGAAGGAGTAAACACCTAGCAAGGCACATTAATTGATAGATCTGGATAGCTTCAGGAAATCAAAATTTTAGAAACAAAACACAGATGCTATCATGCTCTAGCACTTGTGATTATTTATGCAGATGTTTGAGATTCAAAGTCGTGAATACTGCTCTAAAGTACAGTTATCACCATACCACATAATAAATGATAGTGGAAAACATGAAGGTCTCCTTCAAATTTCTACTTCCTGTTTAACAGCTCTCGTTGTTATACAGCCCTCTACTTGCTGTGACCTGCACTGATAGTGAGCTTACCTTGACGGGATGTTTAGAAATGTCAACAACAAACATCTCTTCCTCCTGCCTGAATGCAGAACCATCTGGGAGGGAGACATAAAGCTCAGCTAGCTCACTCCTGATCTGTCCTCAGGACAGGGATCTTAGTGGCATTTGATTCCTAAAATAAACTGCAACCATCTGGCCACCAGCAAAGGCCTCCCAAAAGAAAGAATGGGCAGAGTATAGCCTAGGGTGAGCCTCTGCAGACATTGAGAAAAGAGGAATAGAGATCCCTGATTTCTCCTTCTACACTCCTCAGGTGGATGGAGCGTGAAAGGAAAGAAGAATAATCAAGAGTGTCCCTCGGCCAAATGTCCCACTCAGAAACCTGAACCATAGGGAGTGAGTGGCCCACCAATGATCAGGCCTTTGTAATACAAAGAGCTATGAAGGGAAAGCTTCCATCTTGTACTAATGACTTACTTTCAAGCAGACTTAAGACTCCTGATGCAAATGTGTGCCTTGACAAATTATAAATTACTAGTGTTAAAAGCCAAAATCACAACTTAGAGATCTGTGGCTTTGTTTTTCCACAAAATTGAGTCAGTGTTCCCATGGTCTCAGCAGAAAGTTTGGTTTTATAGACAGAGAAGGATAGAAAGAAAGAGAAAGGGAACAACAGCAGCAAAAATGGATGGCCCTTTCAGTTACTTTCTTTATGGGAATGGGAGCAATGGGAAATCATTGGCAAGCTGCTATCAGATGACTTAGGGTTAACCTTGCTTATGTAAGAATTAAGGCAGAGGGATCAGGGAAATGCACATTTAAACTGCTTTGAGATTTCATCTTCAGTCAGAAGGCCAATATCAATAAAACATTCGACAGCTCATGCTGGCGAGGATCTAGAGCAAGGGGAACACTCATCAGTTGCTAGTGGGTGTACAAACTT